GCCGGAGCCCAGCAGGTCGAGGCTGCAGTGGCCGGGAGCGGCCACTGCACTCCAGTCTGGGCGACAGAGTGAGACTCCAACTCAAAAAAAACAAAAAAACAAAAAGCCAGAGCAAGGAACCAGAGAGACTACCTCCTCCCTTAGGTCCTGTGACAATCGATCCTAAAAATTGTGTCACCTAGTCATCCATGCCAAACCTGGCTCCAAACAAAATGCTGTAACAGATTTGATAGCAGAACCCATACGTGTAGCTATTGCAGCACTTCCATCAGAGGGAGAGTGAACGCTGAGCTCTGTCAGTGTCTTTCCAAGGTCTTAGAACTCAGGAAGTGATTTGGTTTTAGATGAGGGTGGTAAATCTCATGAAAAAGTGGTGAAGCTTTTCACCTCCACAACTCCAGAAAAGATCTTGGAGGAATTACAAAAGGAAGCCAAAAACAAAAATAAAAGCATAAAAAAGACATCCTTAAGAAACTTTTTATTGCTATGATGAAGATGCTGTTAAATAGGAAATTACATTTACATGCACAAAACATAGGAAAAATAATATATATATGAACAGGACTCTAAAACTACTTTTAATTTAAAAATTTCTATACACTGAATACAAGTTCTAAAATCCCTAACCCCAAATAGCCTGGAACAATGTTACTTTGATTTCATGGCACTACAAAATAACAGAACTGGAAAGAATTCTCCTGATCACTTGATTTAATGCTTTCCATTCTGTGATGGGGCTTCTGGTATTCAAAAGTTGGGAGACCACACCATGTAAGAGGGCAACTAGAATCCAGAGTCCTGGACTTTCTATGGAATGCAGTTTATCCTGTTATAAATTAAAATGATATCTCAATTTAAAAAAGGGCGTTCTCCTAAAACACAAAAATTCTGATCATCAATGCCTTCACATAAATACAACTTAAAAAAAAAATCCCTAGCCGGGCTCAGTGGCTTAGTCTGTAATCCCGCGCCTTTGGGAGGCTGAGGTGAGCAGACTGCCTGAGCCCGCGGGTTCGAGACCCACCTGGGCAGAGAGACCTCATCTCTACAATAAATAAAA